GTATAATAAATATAGCATTATTAATTAAATAAATTAATGTTTGACCTACTGTTCTATTTTTTTATAAGGGATCAGCCGGTAAACGAGCAAACGGATCACCGTCATGTGCCGATTATTTACCGTCAAGTAAATAATTATCGCTGCCAATGGACACACAAAACACCAGAGGCGTTACAAGTGCGTTACTAGCCTTTTGAGGATTAGGAATTTGAGGATTATTGGGGACTCGAGGATTAGGGAGATTGGGGAAGGGGGTTATTCAGGACTATTTATGGGATAACATCATGCGTGTAACGAAATCCTTTGGCTGATTTAAATAAGGGAAAAGATTTTCCAGATATGCAATAGCCTTATTTTGAGTGAGTCTAAAGCTGTGCTAGCAGACCTTTATTTACATTACAATACAACGCCATCGACTAAATCCATACGCTAATAATAATTTATACGTGTATAAGACTAAATCTTATGATTTAGAATGAAATAAAACCAATGTGTTGCTTTTTAAAATTAAGAAACGACATTTAATGTTCTATTCTTCCATAAATTCTTTAACGGAAAATTCTTATATTATTGACGTTTAAAAAAACCAAAGACTATTTGACAATAGTAATCAATTCAAAAATTAAAAAAAAACCTCTTTCTTTACACGTGAAACACATCTAACAAATAAAATTTTGCCTATTTGCACAAAGCGCCTTCACAAAACATTTCAAAATGATTCCTATGCACAAACTCTTGCTTTTCTACTCCCACACGTAAGAACATAGAATGCACAGCAATCTTTACAAACGAACCTGCTTATTACGGGTCGTTGGATACAGCTCAAGTGCAAATTACTCAGCGTTTCAATTAACAATTTATTCTACCAATAGCAGAATAAAGCTTACTGTCAAGGTCGTGACATTTGACGAATGCATGCAACCTACTAATGTCAATAAGCGGCCTCAAAAGACAATTGTTCTGCATCTTAATCTTGATCTGCATCTAAGTGTGGGAGAGCTATGCTTCGGCACGAATGGGCCGGCTCGACCAGAGTGATACCACGGCCCCACAGAAAACCGACGTGAAGCAACGCTTGCGTTGTGTTTAATCGTGTGAGTGAGGTTACCGGAGGCTCAATTACCCTCCCCTTCCCCAATCTCCCCAATCCCTGAATCCCCAAATATCCTCAAACTCCTAATCCCCAAAAGGCTGGTAACGCACTTGCAACGCCTCTGGTGTTCCAGGTGTCCATGGGCGACGCCGATTGCTTACCATCAGGTGATACGTCTACTTGTTTACCGCGACTTATGCCATAAAAAAAATCTTACTTAGAAACAAGCATTTCCAGGAAAGGCATTTTTTTATATAACGCTGTCCCACACTAGGATTTTCTCCTGTGTCGTGGGAGCGTTTATATAAACATACAATGATACGCCACCTATAGTCATTTGTTGGTTTGCATGCATTCGTCAAATGACGCATCGTGGACAGTAGGCCTAACTATCAATCTATTTTACGACAGGAGATAAATTATTGAAACTCGATCATTTCCATTGCATTTCCCTGAATAGAGAAAATAGGCAATGCAAATGTTTTATGTGTAAGCGCCTACTCGAACTTGTATTGCGTACATAGTTCCGACGTTTTGTGTTTGTCTGCTACGTGCTACTGTTATTTTATTGGTTTATTGTCCTATCGTTATTAATCATGTTGATTTTAGTGTAATGCAGTATACTTTAGAAAAAAACCGTATCAGAAAAATATTGTAGGTCCTATTTAGGAATTGACAATAAGTCTCGAGAACCGAACGTAGCAATAAGATCACGAATAGTTGAACTATATATTTAATTCGTAGGATATATTGTTGATAATACATACTTTAAAGTTTAGCTGTGATTCCACAGGAATTTATGGCCAAAATAAAATTTGATTCGCATAAAGGAAGGAATAAACACATTTAATAAAAGGCAGACCGTAAAGGTTCCGTCCGCTCGCTTTTACAACGGGCGTGCTCAATGTAATGATAGTTCGCTGTCCTAGCATTTTCCTGATTGCTCATAACAGGTACTTGACACCGGAAAACGCGGAAATGGGAAAGGAAAACGAGAGTGAAATTCGCACACCCAGTCACCCAACCCCAGCAGATAAGAATATTACAAGATTGACCAGTTTTTCTATGTACCTGCTTGTAGCAACTGGCAATTAGTAATATTTCCTGACCAAGCTTCTTTATCCAATTATAGAATGCTAGTTTGAGAACAAGAAAGTATCCGGTTGATACTTTATGTCCTGGTTGTAGGAATTATCAAAGGCTTTTCTCTATAAGTAGTTGCATTAAATTGTTTCCTAATAGTGAATTGCTAAGAAGAAATGGCTATTAAGTCACATTTTGTTTATAACATTTTATTATTTATACCTGGTACCTAATACTTGACTGCACGGTTGGTGCGGGGGCTGAGCAACCGGCTGCCGTGCAACGTGTCGCGGGTTTGATTCCCGCACGGAACGACACTTTGTGTGATCCACAAATTGTTGTTTCGGGTCATTGTGTATGTGAACTTGTATGTTTGTAAACGTACCCACGACAGGAGAAAATCCTAATGTGGGGTAACGTTTAAAAAAAAATACTTACTTGTTTTTAGTAGTAATCATTGCTTACATACGTATGTATGAGCCAAGCTCTCTTTACAATGCAGTTGTGATAAACACTAGCCTAGTTTAGGTTTTATACCACAATTTAAAAAGTCACTGAAGCATAACCATTTGACAATGAACAGTAGGTACGCGTTAAGCTTTTCTATGTTCTTTGATAAACTAAAAACCTATTAAGCACACAAAGTGTGGAAAATATGGCAGAGCATCTTATGTAAAAGAAGTTTTTATTGTAGAAGCAGATCGTCAAGGGCTGTTGACCTCTAAATAAAAGTAACACCATACAAATCATCTTCATTTGACGCCTGTAAACGCCGCCATTTTTATCTAGCACATAGTAGTAGTAAAGTAGTATATAAATAGCAGAGTTTATGTTCGTGACAACGTAAATAGCTACGCGTACAGTTTTATTGGACAATATTATAGACGATCTTTGAGAACACGATCTTAAATGAGCGCTTAATTTTCGTAAAATCTAATGGAAGCAAAGACAGAAAACCATGTTCAACAATACCTGTGTAACATTCAGTGTGGAAGTGAGGCTACCGGAGACTTAATCTTTTCCCAAAAAATAGCTAGTACTGGACTAATAACTAGTCAAGACATACAAATTTATTTTAAGTTACACAGAATAGGAAATTTCAGAAAATGTAGATAGAAATGTAGTAGAAAATAAGTCCAGTGCAGAATAATAGACCTTATCATTACTTACTTACTCTTATCTATTACTGCTAGAGAAGTGGTATTTCTAAAAAAATTAAAAACAATATTTTTATGGGAATCCGTGGAATTTTTCATTACGTTATGACATGCTTCATACCTTTCGTACATTACACAGTGACAGATACTAGTTAATACTTATCATTAACTCCGTGATCAATTATTTAATCCAAATTTTTGTTTTTACTTCAATTAACCTAAAAGCATTAAACTCAACATAAACCTTTTGAAGAATGATCTAATCTATATAAATAAAAATGAATTTCTTTTTGTTAGTCTCACTAAAACTCGGGAACAGCTGAACCGATTTGGCCAATTTCGGTCTTGAAATGTTTGTGGAAGTCCAGGAAAGGTTTAAAAGGTAAAAACAAATTTTTCGACGGTACAATGGAGGCTGAGCCAACGTTTATTTTCAGCCGTCGTCCCACTGCAGGGTAAAGGCCTCCCTAACGTTCTTCCTCTCCTCTCCATGTAAAGCTATTTGTTGGGCCAACTAGGTAGTGATAAAAGTGAGTGACAAAAGCGACAGTTAATCTCCAAGGAGACCATAGTCAACTGCGCAGGTGTGATTACTCTAATTCCTAAATCTCATGACCTATTGGGTCATCCCAATTGCTATGTCCAGAGAGTAGTGAGGACCAAATGGTTTATGTACTTTCCGATGTACAAAAATGTAACAGCTCATAATGAGTCTCTGTTACTAATGAAAAAAATAATAACTTATTTTTGCAGAATATGGGGAATTGTAAAACGGTACGCTTGACTCAGTAGCCAGTCACCAAGTTGTATAATCATGTAGAATCACGAACAAACATTATTTTAATAATTACAAAAAGGAATTACTTACATAATTTTCTAATGTCTTTCATTTGTCTCTCAAATGTCTGTAATTGTGTCTATACAACATCGTCGGTTGCACTTCCATCGAGAAAATTAGTACTATTATGTCTGATATGTAGGTAGTCTTTTGATATAGTAGGTACATAATATGGACTATACATAGTATCTGTTTCCTGCTCTCAATCTAAGTTATTTAACTTTGTTCTACATTTTATTATTTTTGTATTCTTATTCCCGTTGGTTTCAATTGACTTTTTAAGGCAATTTAATTGATAATGTATTTTTGTATATCTTAAAAATCACTAAACATAAAATAAGCAACCATCCCTGTATCCATAAGTTTAATTTGAAAATGATACACTGAAAGAAGCCATTAATAAATTAATAAAGAAAAAAATAAAAAAACGTATGTAATTGTATATCGCTCAACTTTTTCAGTCTCACAATAGATCTTGTGCTAAGTAGTTATATGTACGATCAATGAGCCAGAGATTATATTACTAGGATCAAATAATTGAAACACCAGTTTTAGCAAATTTATTTATAATCTATTTAATTTATTACACTAAAGTATACCTATCCCAAATTATTGCACATCAAAATAGGAAGAATACACAACAATTTTTGTAATAAATAATTTCAAAGCTTTACAATATTGCATTCACACTTAAAATATTATATTGTTATACTACAGCCTCTTATTGTACATTTCTGTATGTATTTACATGTGGTATGTATGATGTTAAATCGTGCTTGTTGCAAACTATTCTTGTCTGGAGAAATCTAATGTTGCACGCAGACACAATTAGATATATCTCTGTCTAGAACTGATTAATGAAAGGTTAATTGTCCATCTGTTCAAGTTTCCATTGCTACATGAGTTTATGGAGTAGGTACAGCATGCATGAACACAGTCATGAAAATACTTTTCTTTAGACACACCCCATGTGTCAACAATGCACGTGATTCTGGACTTCAAACCATCTTCGATGTACTTATATTAGTATTATAAGGCTCCTATATTTACAGTACCTTAATAATTCTTAACAAATCACATTTATTGTGATCTTTTATTATCAATTACGATAATCTCTTCTTCTCATTTCGTTCGTTTTTGTTCTTTGAGAATGGTGATGAATCAGTCTTGTGGTGGTCTGGCTTCACCATGCGCTTGGGGTGTGAGTGGTAATTCCTGGGGTACGATGGTGGTTTTTGTTTACCAATTGGAGGAACGTGACGGTATCCTACAGTATATTCTGTTTCAGGGTTGTAATCTTGATGACTCGATTGGCTGTAAGATGAGGACATCGGGCGCGAGTGTACATATGTAACCTTCTCAGTTGATGGGTTGTAAAGGAAAGTTTTAGGCACCATCACTCTGTACGGCATCTGGTATTTTGGATGAGGCAAAGGAGTCACATAGCTGACTGTCTGAATCATACCCGAGTTCTGTTTTCCAGTCTTGTAATGTGAAGGCAAAACAGTTGCGATTGTGTGGTCCTTGCTTGGGTAGTTCTCTGTAAGAACCAGACCGTGATCGTCAGAGTGTTGCTCTGATTGTTGCTGGTATGCGTAGTTTTGCTGGCCTCCTACATCGGCTTGAGACGCGTGACTTGATTGTCCAGATTGGGGAGAGAATACAGTGTGATCTTGTTGATCATGCTGAGTTTGAGTATAGTATTGGGAAACTTGAGATACACCTGATTCCTTTGCAGCGCCATATTCTGGTGCGGGAGTCACTGATGATTCATATCCTGGTGAAATTGATTGTGAATACTGTTCCTGAGGCGGTCCGTATTCAGGAGCTACTGTGGCTGAATGTTCATACTCTGCTTCTGCATGAGATGGTGGCGTTCCGTACTGAACTCCAGGTGTACCGTATTCAGCACTGGGGGTCACAGCTGCTTCATAGCCAGGGCTGACTGAAGCGTATTGTACCTGAGCGTTATTATCATGTACACCAGCTCCTTGGTCTAAGGAAGATCCTTGAATATTTTGTGACGATCCATGTTCCGTCTCTTGTTGATAATGTGATGAAGGCATGTAAAAGGTTTGCGATGACACAGCTGATTGTGGTACGTATTGATACTGGTATTCATAATTCTGAGGAAGTGAAGGTTGTTTGTAAATAGAATATCCTTTAGGCATTGTTATGTAGTGTTGTCGCACATAGCTAGATGGATATCTAGCCATTACAGGTTGAACCGCAGAGTACTGCACTCCATCGGATAAATCAGCTTGCGTGTATGTCGGCTGGACGTACGGATGAGCGTAATGTTGAGGCTCGTATTGGGATGCAGGAGCTTCATCTCCTTCTTGACTGTAGCCCTCAGCTCCTTGGCTCTCAAGACCATGACTAGGGTACGCCATAACCTGAGGAGCGAACTTGTATCCAGCTTTCTTGAAATACTGGTTCACTAGCTCTTGCAAATTCAAATGATTCAAGTAGTTAGACAAAGGATAGTTTTGTGGTAAGTTTGCATATAATTCCGCTGTGGGGTTGGTAAGCGATGAACTTGGTATTCTCAATACTAAAACTGGGACAACTTTTTGTTCCAAGTGGGAGCCAGGTGTATGTAAATGATCTTGGGTTAATCCAACGCTTTGGAACTCTGGGTTCTTGATAAGTTGCGAAGGATCGACAAGGTAATCAGGCATCACAGTAGGGAACTGTCCAGATAGTCCAGTGAATTGTTCGCCGTTGTAAGTTGTGTAAAGAGTTGAAGGATGCGATGAGTAAGAGTTGCTGTTTTGATCCCCAGATGAATAGGAAATAGGCTGTGGTGCAGGAGTTGTGAACTCAATCGCTGGTTTCTCGTAATGGTACGCTGGTTTCTCGTCTTTTACTGGCACTAATTCAAAAGCTTGAGACGGTTGAATTTCAACACTCGTTTTTACTTTGCCTGAGTGGTCGTAATGTTGTATAGAGGTTGAATGCACGTTGTTCGCAGGAATATCTTCTTGCGAGTAAGGATATATCATGAATTTTCCTTTTTCTTGAGCAGGTTTTCCAAAGTAAGAGTATGTGTAACCGTTGTTGGTTTTATATCCATATCCAAGGTTAGCTTCAATGGTACGCTTTCCTTTGCTTTTCGTATCTGTGTCGTTTACTATTTCAATGGCTATAACAGCTGGGAAATGTGTGGGAGCTTTTGGTTTAGGTTCACTAACATTTTTCTTTTCTTCTTTGGGAGCATCATTCTTAATACCATACTTTGCTTCTACATCTCTTAAGAACTTCTTCTCTTCTGCTGTTAGAGTTGTGTTTGATGCTTTGTCTTTATCTTTAACTTCTGATTTGTATTTCTTTGGATCTGGTTCGGCGCATGTTGTTGTCAGCACCACACAGAACAGCATCTGGAATTGATATAAAATCTCGATTAACATTGATTTAACAGGCTTTAAAACATTAGGTTTGGGCTTTAAAACATTAATCACGCATTTACTGTGATTAATCATCATTATGATCGATTTACAAAAATCTGTACATCTGTAATATTTTTTACGAAGTGACTGAGAAACAAATATTTGTGAACAGGAATAATAACGAAAACTATTATTTCCAAATTCTGAAATGTCATCAACTTAAATGGTGCTTTTACAGCTTGTAGACATCGCTATATAAGGCAGTATTCTAAACCGTGACACAATAATGAACTTATTGTCAATAGCATGTGTACCAGCAGTGTCCGTACAACATCCCATTAACGTATTGCGTGCTTGACTCATCGTTCACTCTCTATACGAGCTCTGCAATTAGGTAACATAACATTATCTTTATTTCTTAGTATTCCAACATTGAGACCATCTTGTGAAATTTTACATCTGTTACGAGGCAATGACGCCAGATGATCTCCTCATATAATGCACATATCCGCATACAAATTGATGCACATATGTACCTCGTTTAAGATTTATTGGAATTTCTCCGTTATGCGCGTCAACTTTCGATTTATCAAATGTTTTCGAAATAGTAAAAAGATAATTTTGAGATTTGAAAGAATACTTTGTTTAATCATGATGGTTAAGTTGTTAGAATAATGACTAGTGTGTGGATGCGCGTTATCGTTCCTTATGATCTGTCGCTTATGCAACGGCGATTTTCTCGCGGAGCGCGCGACCCGTCGCGCCTGCGACTTTCCACGACCTCAGGTTCTCGATGGTTACCTCGCTGATTAATTAACGACAGGTTCGCATTATGTGGAAGTTGTAACTATGAAATTATGTAACAGTTACACGATCACTGGTGACTACGCAGCGACTTCTATTCACGTCCGCACTAGATAGAAATATTTGTCGACTAATTGACTATAGTCTCGTGGTTGGAATAAATGAATGCTTTCCTACTGAAGATGCATTGCTGTGATGTTTATTACAACTGCAATGTCCGCATAGTAAATGTGTTTCATGTAATGTGGAAATAATTACTGATCTCATTGGTCTAACGTAAACAAATCGCTAACAAGCAGTTCTCGATGCAATTCGAGATGAAAGTAATCGTTGGGAGCTGATATTGGTTTAGAGAAAGTGTTTGAGTGGCGTCCAGCTCGGTCAGGATTGCGACACCAAATAACAATACGTTTCCTAGTTTCGATCTGACTCCTGCTAACTTTAGATAACTGTAATTTAAGTGAATCTAACCGTTTTAAACTCGTGACTACGTTCGGTTCTTGGCATTGTTCTAAAGAAGTAAAGACAATACTTTTGCAAAACGATCTTATAGCACGAATAGAAAACAACACAAGAACGTCAGTATTAAAATCTGACACATAAAATGAAATTTAATTTAGTTTATATCTTTAGCTAGACTGTCGACAAAGTATTACTGAGTTTAAAAAATCTCAGTTGTACGGAGTCTGGAATTGTCCCTGGTATATGGCAATAGGCTCACCCCCTATTACATGGGAACCATAACATAAATAGTGAAAAGTGGGCATTACATCGTACAGTGGCATTAAGTGCCGTAATCTGCACCTCTGCCTACCACTTCGGGGATAAAAGGCGTAATGTTATGTAATGTAATATCTTAAGCTTTGACATTTTGATATTCCTACAAAAATGAATAGCTTGATTAAAAAAATACTTTTACTGGAGCTTTTACTACTGCTCTACTTGTCAATGTAATAATTTTTAAGAATGAATCAATTCTAAACGCGTACTTCAAGTTGCATTGTTATTCACTGAATATGTTCAGGTCGCACACAGTCTGCATCAGGTTTATAGTGATTTACAGTTACTCTATTCAGATGAAATCATCGATCTTTTCCTCTTATATAAAATACTGGTTTAGTCTTTTAATTGACGAAGTATTGAACCTGCATAACTGGTTATTAACGAAAATAAATGAATGAATCTTGTTTTGCAGTTGGATTGCAAACAGGTGTTTGTTTTAGTAAATTGGTTTGATTTATAGCCAACTGGTTGTAAACAAATTGGTCTCTGAATTTATAATAATTTCACGGTAGGTATTGTAAGGTTCTATTGCCATTTTCTTTTGATGGATCCATATGATATGATGCCAATACATAATTAAGGACTCTAGCTCCACGTATTAGTATTAATATTTATCTTTATCAAAACTGCCTCGTTGACCGCGTGGTCTCGGATTCGATACCCGGGTCGGGCAAATGTTTAAGTTGTGTCTATATCAAAACTAATTTGTCTCAAGTGATCAAGATATTCTTAGTATCAACAGTTTATATTTTTGCTAATGTATAAACTAGTTTAAGTGGTACACCAGTTTTAAAATTTGGTAGGTGGGTAGGTATAAGTAAAACTGGTGTTGGGTAGGTGTTGATAAAAAATGGGGAACATTCCACAAAAAGAGAAAAACAAGCATTAACCCATACCTGTAATTGTCATACATCACATTAATACTAGCATTATATAATTACACATTATCTGATGCTACTGAGAAATCACCACAGCTTTGTGGCAACTAATCGTCATCTCATAACGTAAATGGCAATCACGTTTGTGGTGAAGGAAGAAATTATGAATACCACTCAATGATTCCCTTTAATCTAGTGGTTGAACACATTACGGTAAGTATCAAATAAACTCGTTCACATTTTCCTTCATTTTTTTTTTCTATGGAATAAGCCGGTAAACGAGCTGACGTATCACCTGATGTTAAGTAATTGTGGGAAAGTCAATGGGCCAGCTCGACCGGAGTGATACCACGCCCTCACAGAAAACCGACGTGAAGCAACGCTTGCGTTGTGTTTGGTCGTGTGAGTGAGGTTACCGGAGGCCCAACTACCCTCCCCTTCCCCAATCTCCCCAATCCCTGAAGCCCCAACGATCCTCAAACTCCTAATCCCCAAAATGCCGGTAACGCACTTGTAACGCCTCTGGTGTTCCAGGTGTCCATGGGCGACGCCGATTGCTTACCATCAGGTGATCCGTCTGATAGATTACCGGTTTATGCCAAAAAAAAATTGACGTCGCTCGTGGACAGCTGTAACACCAAAGGCGTTACAAGTGCTTTACCGGCCTTTTAGGGACTTAGAATTTATCATCATCATCATAAAAACCAAAACACTGAAGGAAAATAAAATACATCACAAGCCTCACAAAGAAAATTGTTGTCTAAATAATATAGTTTCACTTAAAGACTTCTAGGCCAGCCAGTTGGAAGCGACTTGCATGCATCCAGCGACTCCTTGCAACCATTATCAGGAGCAAATTAACAATACATAACAACATACAACATAACATAACATCACGCCTTTTATCCTCGAAGGGGTAGGCAGAGGTGCACATTATACCACTGTACAATGTAACACCCGCTTTTCACTATTTATGTTATGAGTCCCATGTAATAGGGGGTGAGTCTATTGCCATATACCGGGCACAATTCCAGACTCCGTGCTACTACTGAGATTTTTTGAAGAAGCCCAGTAGTACTTTGCCCGACCCGGGAATCGAACCCGAGACCCTTTGCCCAGCAGTCGCAATTGCAACCACTAAGCCAACGAGGCAGTCACGTGTTTTAAAATAACTATTCACAAGAAGTCACCGAGCCAGGGTTAGAGCCAGTAACTATTCACAAGAAGTCACCGACTTCACAGTCATTAGAATCTATAAATACATCAAATTATGAATAATCATAACCGAATATTAATTTCTAGTGCATTACCGACATATTATAACTGTGTCGTTACATAATAAATCTATTTACTTTGCAAACAGAACATATAGCTATCATCATATTACATAACAAACTAATAACATACCTCTAATTTGCAACGGAAAATATGTGCATAAACTTAGTAATTCCGGAAAAAAAACGGAAATAATTATTTATGTATCGCATAATTACCTAATTATGCTTACGATTGCTATGTGTATGTTATGTTATGGATGTAGGTGTATGATGCGCGTAATTTATACGTCAGCGTCAATCAATTTGAAAGCTGGATTAATACCAACTTTTCATTGAAATTCGATGTTTATTATGTATCGATATAACACCTAATGTCAGACTTAAATAAAAATAAAAAGTCTTGAATAAAAAAAATTACTGCCTTATTGGGCGAGTGTTCGCAAGTGCGACTGCTGGGCAAGGGGTGTCGGGTTCGGTTCTCGGATCGAGCAAAGTATTACTAGATTTTTTTAAATATCAGTAGTGGTACGGAGTCTGAAAATGAGGCCGGTGTACGGCAATATGCTCACCCCCTATTACATGTGACTCACAACAAAAATAGTGAAAATTGACATTAACTGCCGTTATGTGCACCTCTGCCTACCCCTTCGGGGATAAAAGGCGCGATGTTATGTTAAATAAAAATAAATGTTTTGTAATCAGAGTGCCCGTTTGCCTCTTGCCCGATAAAAGTTCTAATTTCAAGATAATTTCGTCCTTTCTGGCTAGACCTAAACTCCTATCATCAAACATTTCATTCTAACTCTATAATCTGCATATTGCATAATATGAACACACTTCATTGTTGTATGCACATTACAATGAATACTATTTCATAAAACATTTTTTTCTTTCCCATGGATTTAGAAAGAGGTTGATTTAATTTTATATAAAAAAATAATATTATTATGCTTTCGGCTTACTCATGTAATAATTTGACGAGGTACTCGACTAGTTTCAAGCCATGCTAGAGGCTCATACTCATGAGCAGCATTTCGCGACCCGCGACGCGGCGACTGTCGCGCTGCTACAGTACAGTACAGTAGCAGCGCGACATAATAATTTATTTAGAATGTCTCACGAAAGTTACAATAAAATAAAATATCTAATTTTATATAAAAACAAACCACATCATATACAACCGACTTAAAATAAGGAGGAGGTTCTCAATTCGAATGTGTTTTTTTGTTTGTTACTCGATTTTTCGAAG